CTCTCCGGTTAACCCTTATTATATTTGTCACAGCTAAGGTGAAGCGCCCATCAACGTGAGTGATATTGAGTTGGCCACGCCCACCCAGTCACATGACCACTGTGCTACGCCTACCCAGCTGGTCATTAGGGCAGAGAACGGGTTGTTAAATTATTTGAATCCCACCACTGCTAACAACATGCTACATGTAACTGATGAGGGTTTTATGTTTCATGTACTGTTTGTTTTTATTTGTTTAAAAATAAAAAAACTTAAAAAAAAAGAATTATAATAATTTTAATTAATGTTTATCATAAATCAAGAAGTCATAATGCAATTAACCTTAGAGGGCAGAAAAAAAGTTGGTCAACCTCATTCTAACCGAAAAGCTAATCAGGTATTTTTGAAGGTTTTATTCTGGTTTTAACAAAAGATACAGGGTGAATAGAGTGTTCAGAAAGAGAAGATTGAGTGTTTTTATTTATTTTATTTCTATAAAAGCCATGTCATGGGTCTCAATATTTCCCATAGAAAAAAGAATAAAAGCACTTTACCTCCTTAAGGTAATTCAGTATACAGATGAAATGGGGGAATGTAAACTAGGAAATGTGTATCACAAACCTGGATTTTAATAGTAAATTCTAAGAGAACTGGTGATTTTTAGAACAGAAAAAAAGAACAGCGTGAGATCACATCAATATTTTTAGACTTGGGTATAATTAATCTGGGACAGAAGAGAGGAGACGTCACACAAATAGTAAACAATTTATTTTCTTTTCAACTATAATAACAATAAGGAAATGTTAATGGATACTTTTGGTGATTATTAAGTAGAAATGTTAAATCTCTTAGAGTGTATTAGATTTTTAGATTAATTTACATGTAATTAATCACGATAATAACAATGAAGTGATAACCTTAATTAGTAAAATAAACTGGATATAAATTGCAATCTGGGGATTAGGGAAAAGACCTATAACTTTTATTAATAAATTTCTGTTGAGAGCTGGTTATAAAGGTATAATCACTTTTGGGCCTGAGCAGAGGAGAGATGAGATAAATAGTAAATAATTTTTAGTTAACCTACAATAATAATAGGAAATGTTGATGGATAATATTTAACGATATATACAAGTGTGTTGTACTAGTAAAAGTAAATCCAACAGAAGCGTTAATTTGTGAATTGGGGGGGAAAAGTGGAGGGAATGTTAGACATTCTACTAATTGACTCTCTTTTTAGAATATGTTATAAAGATGTAAAGTTATGGTAGACTCATTGATATTGTGAAAGTATGCCAGTAGGTGGTTGTGTCTTT